AATGAGGGCGAGAACAAGTCTAGCGTCACTGTGCTTGACGTCTGCTCTTCCTCTGGTAACGACGGCAGTGACGAAGTCTTTGAATACATAAGCGACTCAAGCGAGATGCTTGAAGAGATACTTGATGCGATAGGTAAAGTTGCTCTCTATTTTTTTTAGAAGCCTCCTTGTTCATAAGTATTAATTCCCTTTCATTGGTGTCTTTGAATAGATGGTCCACGTTCACACGCTCAAAGCACACAGCCACAACAGCCGCCCCAAAATGAAGGCCATCGCGTAAGCAAGGTTAACACGCGAAGAGCCCGCTCGCAACAACCAATTGTGGCGCGTAGTGACAGTAGCAAAACTGTTGCAGAGACGATGAAATTGGACTCGTCTGACGAATGCCCCCGCTCGTCTGACCAAATGCCCCGTTCTCGACGAGCTTTGCCCGCTCAGCGCGATGATCTGCCAGACACAACAACAGACCGAACACCCCGTATTAGGCGATCTGAAACCTATACAGAACGCGTGTCTATGACAAACTCACGCGAAGATGTGGTAAACAAGATCGCTGCACTTCCCCAGCTCGTATTTACATCATGGAGCGAGCTCAACGAAGTTCTGAAGTCATATTGCAGCCGTCATAAACTGCTATTTAGGGCTAGAGATACCCAGACCGTCCGAAAGCACAACTCGTACGTACTTTACTACTACTTTCTTTTATTTTTATTAATCGGTTTAACCGCCCTTTACAGGTCGAAAGAGTTCAAAATTTCCATTGAAATGGAGTACAGCTACAAGGTTTTCCGTTGTACGCATGGGTGTCATCAAAAATCTCGGGGTGCAGGGCATTGCACCACCCCTGTTCGTTTTACTGGTTGCAAGGCGCGTTTTACTGCATCCGTTATGGATGTTGGCGCTGAAGGTGATAAACCTGATAGCAAGATCATTCTTCGGAACTGGGTAAGTGGTTGCTCAATAAAATGCAATGTAATCTCGCTTAACTGGGTATTTTATGCAGACGTGGACTCACAACCACCATACGAACAATACCATATTTGCTGGGTACTTTGGAGCAGAGTCTATTCCAGAAGACAGCAGGGTCTTAGAGAGTGTTGGTCTTTTGGCTGATGCAAACGCTGAGTCCCATTACGTTCGTGATTACCTGTGGGGTGCATTGGAACGACAAGTGACGCCACAGCAAGCTCGCAATATCGTTCAAAGAGTTTTGAAGAACGATTCTGTCGAGGAGCAGTTGACATCTATGCTGGACACTCTAGACAAACACGAAGACCATGATGTGCTTGTGCTACGAGATCAAAACGATGTTACGTGTGGCGTTGTTATACAGACTGCAGTTCAGAAGATTGCATTTAAACAGTGGGGCGAAACTTTATGCATGGATTGGACTTACGGTACAAATAACTTGGGCTTCCACCTTGGTACGTGCTCTCCAACCATGTCATATTGCTAGTAGTGGGCGCCATTATCACTAAAGCAGCGCCTTTAACACTGATAAAGCGTCTTAACGTATGTGTGTGTGCTCCTGTATTTGGCGCAGGCAGTTTACTTGTTACAAGTTCAACGGGTCGTGGTGTGCCTGTTCTTGATTTCATCGCACTGGATGAAAAGATGGGAACCATTGAGGTTATTCTGGAGTTTTTTTTTTAATCTCTCAATGATCTATGGAGTGCGATTGAGACAGTGGTCATTGATAAAGATTTTAAGGAGTGGAGGATATTGGAGAAGTGTTTTCCGGAGGCGACGGTATTACTATGTCAATTTCACGCGATGAAAACGTGGAAGAAGATCGTGAAGACCATAAAGTATGGCTTGAACGGTATTCAGCAAGATGAGGTTGAAAATGCCATCATGAAGATGATGTATAGCACCACATCGGCCGCCTTTATTCGTGTAAGAGATGACTTCGAGAATTTCTGCAACGGCCTGTGTCCCGACATCTGCAACAAGCCCTGTGCCGAGATTTTCATGTACTTTCAAGAAAACAGGGAGAATTGCAGTGATATGTGGTCAAACTTTGGCCGTGGTAACTATTTTACCGCAGGAAACACGACGACAAATCGAATTGAAAGCAATTGGAATCAGCTCAAACGGCTTCTTGGAAAGAAGACGCGAGTTGACCGAACCGTTGCGGGCCTACTGCAGAACCAAGTGAACATTGTCAGCCATTTGTTGAGTTCCTTTCGCAAGTTTTCAGTGCAATCCCGTCCAGCGGACACAGTTCCCCCATTTCTGCAGAAAATATCTGCCCAACTCTCAAATGACACATTCGTAAAGGTGTCCGCGCAATGGAAATTCTTCATGGAAAAGCAAAAGGAAGCAAGATGTGTGCAACAGCTACCTGTTCAGTCGAAGTGGAAAGTTTTATTGCCAGGGACGGTTTGGTGTGTGGATGTTTTAACCTGGTCGTGCACCTGTTTGTTCTACAAGAGTTTCCGACTTCCCTGCCAACACATTATGATGGTTGCGAGCAAAGGTCACGGGCTTGGAACCCTCCCGGCAGCCACAGTCCCAGATAGATGGAGCATGAAAGAGAGAGAAGCCCTTTTCGATTCGCTTGAAAGAAATTTGATCCCTCTTCGGCAGGTCATCAACATGGTGAAGTCTCGACCAAGAGAATTTGCAGCGCCCTCAGATCATTCGCCATTTAAAACCGTGTCGTGTCGACCAACTGACCGGCGTACTGTGAAATATGTGCGGCTCAAAAGAAACGAACAAGCGAATATGGTTGTCTTGTCGGATACGGAGAAATATGCAAGAGCTGTAGCTGTCTTTGAGCCGCTTATTGAGAAACTTTGCACCCTATCTACAATTGATTACTACCAGCAAATGAGCAAGTGGAAGGCTGTGATCGAAAAAGACATTGCTGAGAGTGGTGCTGAGACGACATCAGCGACAACTGTAGCTCAGGGTGACAGTGATTCCGATAGTTTTCTCGATCAACTAGATTATGCGGACGCAATGGCTATAATCGAGGCGGAACAGGGGCTGGCTATGGAAGTAGGATCGCTAGGTGGGAGGGCGAGCGCACAGAAACTATTGGTTGCAAGTGGAAGTACTGTATCCCAAGCTAACTGGTCGGAAGTCTCACCGAGGCAATCCTCTTTTGCACTCTCGTCACTTTCCTCAAAAGCTCATGTGGAATTGTCTGGGTGTAGATGTGAAGAAGAGAAAACCGCAGTAAAAAGAGAAACGGTGAGCAGTAACGCAGTCAAAAAGCGTGGGGTGGACGTGATGCGGTTGCCAACTCCAAGACCTCGGACACGAAAGAAGCTGAAACAGGGGTGGATCACGCCTTAGCCAAAATATGCTGTTGTTTTGGTCTCATCTGAGGTGAGACAACGATCCCAGAATTTATACAGTGGGCCTCGTACCATCGAAATGTCGAGGAAATTTCCAATGTTCTCGACCAATATCCGGTTATTATGACAGACAAGTTTATCCAGGCTCGGACATTGCGGTGTGAAGCTGCTTCAGAACATGACGTGGGTATGGAGTCGCAACATCGCTCGTTTGTTATACCAGAATCTCTATTGAAAAAAAGCCGAAGCCAGCATGCAGCAGAAGTATTCTCAACTGAACAAGAACAACCAAAAAGCGCCATTCGGTCTTCTGGTGTCGGTGGGGAATGACTTAGTTGCGCTTCACAGGTGGGTTTATCCGGCTACTTTTGTGTCTTCGAATCGGGACCCAAACGTTGTTCGCTTTGGATGCTGATCTATTATCTGTATTTCTCACATACGGTGTGTTTTTTTTTGTTTTTCTTTTTAGCTGTTTCTTGTATCGAATGAGGAGCTTCTACACTTTAAAACTCCAGGCCAACCGATTTCTTCAGGACGTCAAGTGGTTGAAGCGAGAATGGTGCTCCGTTCAAGCTCATCCTGTTGAACCATATTCGTCGGAAACGAAAACGAACGGGATACTGCACTCTGAAGCAGCGAAGATGCACGACATGCTTGCTGCTGATGGACTACAAAAGTACTCGACGTTATCACTAATGACAGAGCTGAAGACTAAGTCTGGTGAAGGGGTCGTCAAGTTTTGTGATGTTGTCTCTGGATTTTCTACGCGATGGATTACTGAACGACGCCGTGATTGATTTCGGAATCAGAATGATTGCTGAAAGTGTGGATGGTTGTATCACATTTTCATCATTGACATTGGTTGCAGGGTGGCCTAAACCATCAAGACAATGGCTATCGGAGACATCTTATGTGGTGATGCCCATAAATTTAAGTT